GTGCCCCCCCCCCCCCCCGGGGGGACGCGTACCCCAAGTTGAATACCACTGTACTAGAAGATGGAGGGAATTGGTTCTGATTCAATCTTTGTACATCTGCACGTTATAGTTACTCTGTTGCGTTTTAAATGATAGACAACGTAAAAACTATAATTTAACCTGGTTTTTGTGTTTCTAAAACTTGATTTCTCGTTTAGGGGAAGAACATAAGTTGGGGGTGTTTGAAAACGTGGTGTTGAAAAAAATATTTTGACCTTATAAAGAGGAAATAGCATTGTGTTTATGGCTTATTTAACTTTTTCAGTAATTGAATGTTGAAAAATAAATGCTCTTAACGGGGAGCTTCGTACTCACACAATCTTAACCAGAGATTACTAAGATGATAAAAACAAGAGGGTAAGACAGGTAAAGAACGCCTATGTTACCAGGATGAGAGAACTAATAAATGCTGGCGGAATTTAAGCAGGGGTATAGACACCTAACGATACGATGTGAGTTTAACATTGAAAACGATCTTAAAGAAATCAGATATAGGTTAAAGTTATGATTGGATTCATCTGGCACATATGATCCACTAGCAGGCTTTTGTGTCGCGTTCCATAGATAAGGGTTTTTTTATTGACTAGTTTAGCCACTATTAGCTTCTCGTAAAGGACATTTCTCCATGGAATTTGTCATGTCCATGTCGCAGAACGTTCATATGTATTTATACGCGGGCTAATTTAATACTTATTTCAGGCTAATTAATTTCTTAGCTCTTATCTATTTAACGATACGTAGACAACAGCAGATGTTGGATTTGAGGTTTTCACGGCGGTGAGTCCGAAGATGGCTCTCGTCCGGGTTGTAGCACCCTGACGATGAAGGCAGAAATGACCTCTGAAACTTTGGGAAACTTCTATGACACACTGCCGTGCTTTATTCTGATGGTGAAACTACAATAAGACTACATTCATATCAATAGTACAAGCCGTGTTCTGACACTGTTTTGCCGATACTGCTACGCATTTCGGCCATATTGTTGTTCCTAGTATATTCAGTAACGTCGCTCAGGATTAAGTTATCTTAATTGCGAGCCTTTAGTTATATTGGAACAGTTGACGTAATTTTTCTTTGACCTAAATTAACAATAAAATCTAAATATATTTTGTAAATGTGTAGCAATAAATATTTACTGGGTAGCAACTTATTTCTAGCACTCATCGGAGCTCTGTAATAGGCGAATCTGGTCTTTTCGCTATGCCCAATCACTGCGTTGGTTACCGCATTTCTTTCTCCTAGCGGCACAGTCCGAATATGATCTTATTCCCTGTTTTCATTAAAATGAGACCTGAATTAAAACGGCTGTGGAATTTCAGTGTGTGCCTGGGTTATGACAATAAGTAGACCTGTAAGTGGTGACCAACGTCTTCAGACGTAAAGATTTCCTCCATTTTTATAGTAATTATTTTAACTCATTATAATCTACAACCTAGCAGATAGAAGCAGCATGTTACTCGGATGCTGGTTATTACCTACCACGACAATATGAACTATATTTATGTCATAATGATCTTTTGCCTTGGTAAGGTAAGTGTGGTTGCGGACACTTTCATGGGCGAGTTGAGGGCAGCCATCAAAATACCTTTCAGTTGAACCTGTCCCTAAGATCTAATTGCAGAACTTCAGAATACATGTTAACAGCGCACTAATTATATATGGCAGTCCTGAGGTAAACGGTGTGAACAATTCGCGAAGGAACAAATATTTCGCGTACATTTAAAATAAATAAAAGTAGATTACTTTTATATTATAATGTATAAGACGATACTTAAAAATATTTAAAAAAATATTATATGCTTTAATAATTCTGGTACATGGCACTTGCTACAGGACTGTAGACTTAAAAATCCAATTCGTCAGTTTATAAAGTGAGGTTAAGAATACCATTCATTATTAAATATGTAATTTAGTGATCCATTTCTGTGCATAAATTTCACTAGTACATATTTCAGGTAAGTAATTTTATCGATATTATAAATTCATAAATAAGCATACTTGTTACTGTTAACATATAAAAGTCTGTTTCATACAGAATTTTAACATTTTAAAATTCTTAGGTTCAGTGACTCATTAGTTATCTCCGTTAATCCATAGATACATGAGGATTTCCGTGGTTACCATGTTGTTTCATGTTCTACAGACAAAGTTATCTTAAAAGAGCGTTAATCTTAAGGCAGTCTATGCACATTATTCCAGTGATTTACGTCAAACGGAGTTAGTAACATCAGCCTCAGAATTTCGAACGCCTACATATCGATATTGTTAATGGCAGGATATTAAAAATTTGCAGGGCTGGACTTTGTTCTAGCAACACGGCGTTTACACTAAATTTCATAAAAGAACCTTTAAGTAATTCAAAATTTGTTAGGGGCGTCGGACACATGGTCTGACAGACAGACTGATACATTAATATAATAATTATTTATTTTAATCCGTCTTATCACAATATTTAAAATTTCTTATAATTAAGATAATAAAATATCATTGATGTTCCATATCGATTGATCGATTTACATTTTGGAACAATCACTCCTACATCTAGGGTATGTTTTATTTTAGATTTACTTTTATTTTATATTATTTTTATTTATATCTTACTGCTACTTTCTATTATAAAATGATGGTGCCGTTAAGTTATGATATATTCGGTTGTTCCAACGATACTGGCACTGTAATATTCGTAAAGATTACGTAATTGGGTGCATCATAATTATTTTGCAAATTCATGGGGCCTTCTTCTGGGCACAAGTTTCCGTAAAGAAGCAATCAACTTACAGAGTTTACTAGGCCACTACATTTTCTTCCAAGATATCTTCTTGTGTGTAATAAACACCGAATCAAGAATTAATTATATTAAAACTGTGATAAAATTTCGCTTTTTAGATTTCGTTTCGGAAAGGCAGTTGCGGTATATTCCGAAGGTGAATGTTGGCAGTCCACACTACCGCGGGCTAGTTCACTTTCCAGACATTTCCAGTGACAAGGTAGCTAGAGAAAAATGTGATTATTTATTCGTGAATAATCTGTAATTTACTGATAAAGAAACATACACATTACCACGTAATTTAGAACTTGGAAATTAAATTATATGCGTAATTTTTCATTTATGATAAGTTGCTTTCAATAAATGGCCGTCTTTAGTAATGGCGCAACCTTGGTGTTGATGAATGAAAACATCCATCACATCGCGTCGTAACATTTTGACTCTCTCCTCTGGTTCTGACCTTGGATTCGTCTGAAGTGGCGTGCAGTGTCTGTAATACACGGCTCATGACATAACCTCACAAAAAAACATTCGGCGGAAAATAGATCGTGGCCACCATTTAAAATGCCCAACTGTGAGCTAATACGACGAGGAAATATTAAGTGCGATTTCTTCCCACTTATTCCCGTAGTATGAGGAGACGTTTCGCCATCTTGTTGAATGACCGAATTTGTATTAACAAAAAAAAAAAAGTTGAAGGTATCCATCTTAATCTTAACTGCCTACTAAACCCACGCAGGCTCACAAACCTATGGGAAAATATATAAGATGTTCTTTATCAATAAAACAGAATGTATATTTCGTAATATACAATTTAACGATTTTTAAACGCTTTAAATATGCCCATAACGTATGACCAGTAGGTTTGCAACATAACTTCAAGTTCCTGGCCGTTGTCATAAAATTTTGATATATGAAAAATAACCGCCACGGTGGTCTGGCGGTTAGAACGCTGGCCTTGTAATCCTGGGGGTCTCGGGTTCGATTCCCGGCGGTGCCCGAATTTATAACTTGTGTTGGGCAAGGCCGTGGTCTAGGCAACACGGAGTTTTCCTCCGTGGCATCCCAACAATTACTCCATTCACACACAGAAGAAGGCAATGGCAAACCACTTCTGGATCATCTGCCTAGAACGTATATGAACAGGTCCCAGTCCGAGAAAAGGATGGAAGGATCCTGTTCAAATGGACCTGTCGTCAGACAGAACACTAATAATAATAATATGAAAAATATCAGTTTTACCCATTACCTTCCCCAAACACAAAAATTATTAATCACTTACTAAGTTTTACTACGAAGTCCAGGCTACAGCTCGGCGGATGCTATTATTTTAAAAGTAACAAACTTGCTGGAGTGACTGAGGAAAACCACGACAGATACGCGTAATAGGCGGTGATTTAACAAAGGACGGATATGGTGAACCCTATACACGAAGCACAAATGCTAATTATTGCAATCTGGTGTTGTATGTAAACAAGGAAAATCTTGAGGATAAATATATACATTTATGAGGATATCCTTTCTGTTATTGATAAATAGAAGAGGCTTGTCAGGATGTGTCTATCACCAGTGCGTAAATGTCACATTATCTCGATTCATTCTTCCGTATTGGTATCTAATACAGACAGTTTAGTGGGACTCTTATCGCGTGGTATTGCGTCTTCATGTTCCGGATGGAGTAGAAGACCACCCGACGTAGAAGGTGGCTGCGAATATATTCCGGACAGCCGACAACGGGTAAACCTTTAGCTAGGGATTTGGATTAACAACTTCTCACCGTAAATACATCAGCATGTTACGAAAAGTAAGACTTGAGGTTTTCACAGCGGTGAGTATGAAGATTTCTGTCTTCTGGGTTGTTGCGCTGTGTAGTCTGGTCGATGTTAACCAACGTTTCAGAGGTCAAACTGCCTCCGTCATCAGGGTGATGAGTATGAAGATTTCTGTCTTCTGGGTTGTTGCGCTGTGTAGTCTGGTCGATGTTTACCAACGTTTCAGAGGTCATACTGCCTCCATCATCAGGGCGATGAGTATGAAGATTTCTGTCTTCTGGGTTGTTGCGCTGTGTAGTCTGGTCGATGTTTCAAGCTGTCACCTTGAAACACTCCGCGGTGGTAGCATACCAACTCGGTTGACACTACACGCTTCCCAGATGTTAGAATGAAGCGCGTTTTCCAGAGCGGTAGTAGATTTTCAATGCATTTCACTATGTCAGGTTGGACTTTCAGCACTTTGAGCAAGATGACAATTAGCTCATGAGAAGTTGTGTCAAAAGCTTTTTTGTAGTCCACCCAGGCCATTGACAGGTTGCGCTTATAATGGACCGCATCTTATTATTATTATTATTATTATTATTATTATTATTATTATTATTATTATTATTATTATTAGATCCAAGCTCGAGTACGCCTCGGTCGTTTGGAATTCTATTACGACTACTTATGCCAACAAACTGGAACGTGTCCAGTAGAAGTTTGCAGCCCTTTGCTACTATCCTTTCCTCCCCCAAGTGCATTACAGCTACGCAGATGCTTTAAAGCAGGGGTCGGCAAACTACGGCCCGCGGGCCAAATCCGGCCCGCCGCCTCTTTTTGTACGGCCCGCGAGCTAAGAACGGATTTTACATATTTAAATTCTTTGAAATCTCAAAGTACGCTCTATAATGAAACGGCCGAGTTGAGTAGTTGAGAGAAAGAATTCTATAAATGTCTTCCAAGCGATGAATACGGTCAATTAAGATCATATGCTCGGGGATTTATATCTGTATTTGGCAGCACCTACCTGTGTGAAAAGACATTTTCAAAGATGAAATATGTAAAATCTCAATACAGGTCAGCATTAACGGATGAACATTTACAATCAATTTTGATGATAGGGAGTACTGAATTTAAACCTCAGTTTGGTTAAATATTATCTCATAAACAGGCAATTCCATTCTTCTCATTAGTAGAACTGTATTTCAAACAATTGTAGTCTACTTATTGTTATTACGTTACATTTTGTTCAATAAATTTGTTAAAACTTGGTTTTTTCTTGTTACATAAGTAGGCTTACCTATATAAATATCCTCGAGTTTGCCTATTGGTCCGCAGAGCCTAAAATATTTACTATTTGGCCTTTTAGAAAAAATGTTTGCCGACCCCTGGTCTACGCAATCAGATGGGACAATGGTGTCCACTCAACCAGCAAACATTTATATATTTTTCAGTGGATAAGGGAAAAGTGAGTCTTCTTACATAAGGTGGTCATATCATCACTTAGCTGGCTCCTTAAAAGAGTGACGAGTGTCTCATATTGTTACTTAGGTCTGAAACTTCTTTATACCAAAACTTAATCCTCTAAAGATATCACAACAGTTAGCAATGCTGAATGTCTAAGTGCTCGGAGCAAGTCCTTCTAAAGAAGTACCAGTCGTTCAGCTAATCAAGTCAAAGTGATAGTGCGTTACTTTGCCAAATTTCAGTCTAAAGATGGTCCTTGCTGCTTCAATTATCAGGGTCTCGTCGCCCTGATAATGCAGGCAGCAAGGACCCCTGAAACGTTGGTAAACTAAAGATTATCATTAAGGAATTCTGACCATCTTGCCTTCTTGTCCCTTAAGACTATATATTTCCTTCATCCCCTTTCTCACCCTGAGCTTAACTACCATCAATTAATGTTATTCCTTAGAGTAACCATGTTTTATACCCACGAACATTAACTCCTTGGACCAGAGTTGTTATTGAGAAGTTCTAATAGTACGCACAGCTAGTGAAGAAATTAAGACATTCTATGCCTTCTGTTGGATGCAAAGTTGTATCGCCGTGCTCACAAAAGCCCTCTACTTGGCCCTGTTCTGAGCCAGATTAATCCAGTTCGCATCCTCCAACACTATACCGGAAAAGTCTGTTTTAATATTATCCTCACATGTGCATGGTCTTCCGAGTGGTATATTCCATTCAGACTCCTCAACCAAAATTTTGTGTTTAATACTTATCTCCTCCATTCGTGCTACATGCCTTGCCTGGCTTATCCTTCTTCGTTTGATTATCCTAGCTCCTCATTATGCACTTTTATCTAAGAACATTTTTCACATAACCTTAAATATAATTTTCTGTTTTTCCGTTAACCTGGCTGACCAATTTTCATATCCACACCGAAAACATGTAAAAATCATATAGTTTTGTATTCATTCCTCGCGTTTTTATATAGCAGACGTGAAAAAAACAGATTTTGAACTCTATTTCCCGAATTTAGAGTGCTGTTAATTTACTCGTAGATGAAATTTTGATTTGTTAACGCCGATTCAAAATACTCACACGACGCAACATGTAAAAGTAAAGTATTATATATGCTAAATCTTCCATAGATGACAATAAAATTAAACAAGAACTCCTAAAACAGAAAAATGTCTTTTGAGATCACCATTCTTCATCTACTGCGACCGAAACTCGCGTTCAGTCCTGCTTAATCGGGAAGTCAAGAATACAAATACGAGGTGCGATCGGAAAGTTTACAGACTGTGTCAATAGAGGGCGAACCGGATGTAGTCCGAGCTTCTGCCGCTAGAGGGTGCGGCCTACATTCATAGTGAATCAGTGTGCCAGCCGGCATCATCGAATTACCATTTGTTTCTTAGTTACGGGCGTTTTGGTAGTGCATTACACCGACCCTCCTGCGATTTCGGAATGGCGTGTGCATCAAATTTTGCCAAAGACTCGCCAAAACGGCTACGGAAACCTATGAAATGCTAAAGCAAGCATTTGGGGAGTCCGCAATGGGTCGTGCACAAACTTTTGTGTGGCATTCACGTTTTAAAAATGGCCGAACCTCTGTCGATGATGACGAGCGGTCTGGACGACCATCTTCGAGCACAATGCCCGAAAATGTTACGAAGATTCGGCCGGCCATTCACGAAGATCGACGTCGACATTGTTGGGATAGGCTATGAGACCTGTCAGCTGATTCTAAAGGAAGAACTCCACATGCGACGCCTCCTGTCTGAGGACCAGAAGCAGAATCGACTTCTCGTTTGTCAGGAGCTCAAAGATCTTGCAAGAACCGACCCCAACTTCCTTTCTAAGCTCCGTGTGAGTTCTTCCTCTTCCCAAAGATGAAAATTCAGCTAAAGGGAAGGAGATTTGAGACGATAGAAGAGATTCAGGCAGAATCGCAGATGGTGCTTGCCAGGCTGACAAAGAAAGATTTCCAGGGATGCTTCCAGGCTTGGCAGCGGCGCTG